TCGCCGCCCCCGCCCTGCCTCCCCCGCGAGCCGCCCCTCCACCGCGCCCCCCGCCCCACGGGAGCTTTCCTCCCGCGCCCCACGCTCCTACCTCCTGGTAGGATGTGGAACGTTCCTGCCGGATCATGGCACTGAGCGGGGCAAGGCGCACCTGAGCCCGCCGCGGCCAGCGAGGCGCAGGGAGGAGACACCGCCGCGGCAGCGCGAACACCTCCCGGCTGCGCGTGGCTATTGCGGTTCCCAGTGCAGTGTAGGAGACCCGGCGGGGCTGCGCTCGGCGCATGCGCAGCGCCCCTGCCGCCGCCGGGCCGCGCGGGTGTAGCCGGGAAATGTAGTTCCGGGTGGGGCGCGAAACCCGGCCAGAGACTCACGTGCCTGCCCCTGCTCACTTCCTCTCTTTGTTGCTGGGGTACGGATGCAGAAAATGAACGTGGAGTGGAACGAGCAGGCCTAGCCAGATGAGAAGGAGCGCCTAATCTATAACTACAAGAGGAAGCTTGCTTGGCCTGGCATTTTATAACCGTGATCCGTGTCTGGAGAGAATTTTCTATGTCTCATGAACAGGATGCCCTTGACCCTGCAAGGAAACGTTCCCCACCCCCTTGTAAAAGGGGGAGCATTTCTCTCATGGTTGTATAGATGCAGAAACTGCGGCACCTTGTTTCATAAAGGATGGAAGGAGAGCAGTGATCAAAGTGAATATTATTTGGTCCAGGAATATTATTATTCTGTCTACACAGAGGGTCCAACTTCTTTCCATTAGTGTTCAGGCTGTGCTGCTCACCCGCAGGTGTTGCAATGCTTGGAGCCCTGCTAACCTCTGCCTGCTTCACAGGGCCTTAGGGCTCATGCACCGAACCCCAAAACGGCTCATGCAGTGAACCCCAAAAGCACTGCTCAACCCCAGCAGAAGCCTAGAGCCCTAAAGGCGGTGGAAACGTGGGTGTTGGGCCCATAGCAGGGTGGGGCCCAAGGACCACACCTTCCTTTCCTCCCACTGCCTGAACAGTTTGTCCGGGTGGTGCTCTGGGCAAGTTAGTGGTGAGGCCGATAAGAGGCTGCTTATTATGCCTGGTGAATGCTGCTTTGTGCCCAGGCAGCTGCAGCTCTGCAACTTCCTCCACTCGGCCACTGGCCTCTTCCCTCCTTAGTCTAAGCTTGAGAGCATGGGCCACATCAGAGCACCAGACCTCCTGGAGTCAGCAGTGGGAGGTCTGTCACATCTCCGCCCAGCCCCACTGCCCTGACATCCATTAAATGGGACAGTGTGTAACACATCATAGGCGCTCCACATGTTTGGTAAGTTTATGAATGGAACACTTATTCCAGCCGAGTTTTTGCCAAAACAAAAATACAGCAAGCAGCAAATTAAATGTCTTACTGTACTAGTGCAAGGGTGGTTGATAGCATTTTCCACATGATCACAGACCTTTAGAAATGGAAGGAACCTACTCCAACCCTATCATTTCTCTCTCTTCCTTGTGGCTGTGGCCAAACTGGAAAATGATGGGCCCCCACCAGCAAAGGAAATTTTGGCTAATACAACATTCAACTTAGTTTAACAAACATTATGTTCCAGGCACTGGAGTAGAGAAATGAATGAGCTGCCCCAACACCTTGTTCCTGTGGCTCTTCCTTCCATGCTGGTGTGCAGAGGCAGCCATAAACAGGGAAACTGTTTCCAGTTGTCTTATTCCCTCATGAGCACGCACCCGTCAGGCTTCAACCCTCTCCACTGGAGCAGGGCCGGCCAAGGTCACAGCAACCTTCCTGCTGTCAAATCAGATGGCCATCTCCCTACGTTGCTTTTCCTTGACTTAGCTGCAGCTTTGGACTGGGGCCAGCTCCCCTCTATGGGATAAACTTTTGTCCTCTGGCCTCTGGGACGCTACTCCTTCCCACGCTCCTCCTACCTCACTTGCTGCTCCTTCTCACTCTCCTGTGCTGATTTCTCCTCAGCTCAGCTCTACAGAGCGGCCTCTCCAAAGCTAGGTCTTCCATCTCCTTTCCACTTTCTGCCAAGCAGCCAGTCTCAGGGCTTCAGCTGTCATCTATACCCTAGAGCCCTGCTATGGGTCTAATGATGCCCCCGCAAAACATGTTGATATCCTAGCTTCAGTTCCTCAGAATATGACCTTACTTGGAAACAGGGTCATTACAGATGTAAATTGTTGAGATGAGGTCATACTGGAGTGAGGTGGTCCCTTAATCTGAGTCCTTATGAAAAGATGGAAGATGATGTAAAGATAGACGCATAGGGAGATTTTCCGTGCAATGACAAAGCAGAGAATGAAGTGATACAAGTGTAAGCAAGATGCCTTCAATCACTTGCTTGCTCCTTACAGGTGGCAGTTCCAGGGACCACGTGCCATCCCTCAGCCAAGTAAGAGGCACTGTCCCAAAGATTGCCAGTCACCGTAAGCAGCTACCGAGTGGCAAGGAAGGAGTCTAGCCAGAGTCTCCTAGGGTTTATGGCCCTATGACACCTTGATGTCACACGTACAGCCTCAAGCATTTTGAGAGACACAGTTTCTGCTGTTTTAAGCCATGCAGTTTGCGGTCCTTTGGTAGAGCAGCCCCGAGAAACTAACACAATTCCCAAGAGTAAACAAACTCATTCTTTCTGGCCTCCAATTTGCCCCTGAGACCCAGGCTCCCATGCCCAGCTGCTCCGGTCACTTCACCCCAGAATGTCCTCCTGGAAGCTGCTGAGTGCAGCTACTGATGCAAAAACCCCCAGCCAGGCTGCCTGGTCCACAGTCCTGGCTCTGCCACTTACAGACTCTGTGATCTTGGAGAATTTATTTAATCTCCCTATGCCTCAGTTATCGTATATATAATATGGGAACACTGCTATCTATTCTCAGAGCTCTGCAAGGATTAAATGAGTTATCAGATATAAAGCTTAGAAAATCATCCAGCAGGTGTAAGCAGTAGGATAGCGTTTGTGGTTATCATCAGGTTCAGAGTGGAACCTGGGCCCTTCCCACCCCAAATCTGCACCCCTCACAGCCCCTCTCGATGTATTAAACTCCATCCTCTCCTGGGCTCTGGTCCAAACCCTTAGAGTCATCTCAGTTCTTCCCTTTTTCTTATATTCTACATCTAAGTCAGCAAATTCTCTTGTCTGTACTGTACAAATGTATTCCGAATCTAGGGTAGGCCACCAGAATTTCTCTTCGATTCTTTCCATAGCCTCCAAGCTGGCCTGTCTGTTTTACTCTCGCCACCCTGTAGGCTTTTCCTGCCACAGCAGCCAGGGAGAGCTTATTCAGTAGTCAGATCACGGCATTCTTCTATTCTGGTCCCACCAAAGCCCACGTCCCCACAGTGGCCTACCATTGATCCCTATAGGATCTGCCCCCCAGAAACCGCCTTTCTACTCCAATGTGCCCCCTCTCTCTGCCCCAAGATGCTGGACACATACTGGTCTAAGCACCTTTGCGTTGGCTGTTACCTATGCCTGGAACACTCTCCCTGGACATCCATGTGACTCACTTCTCCCCTTTCCATCAGATCTTTTTCCAAATGTCAGCTTAGCACTGGTGCCTTTAATAGTCAGTTTTCCTGTTGCTGAGACAAAATACCCAACACCCACAATCTAAAGAAGGAGAGGTTTATTTTTAGCTCACAGTTTCAGGGGGTTAGTCCGTGGTCAGCAGGTGCCAGGGCGGAAATGGCATGGTAGAAGAGCATGGCAGAGGAAAGCTGCTCCCAGCATGGCATCCAGAAGCGGAGGGAAAAAGGAGGAGCCAGAGACCTCCAGCGATCTGCCTTTTATGACCAGACCCCACCTCTAAACAGCACGGTCAGCTATGAACCCATCAGTGGATGAGTACAGCACCCCCGTTATCTCATCACCTTCCAGAATCCCCACCTCTGAACATGAGACTTTGGGGCAACACTTTAGATCTAAACCATAACACGCCTCCTCTGGACACCCTCTCAAGGCAGCAAACTCCATCTGCGGTACAGCCCTCTGCTCCATTTTCCTCCTTGACACACACCATCTTCTGACCAGTTTCTCTTCCATCTCCCCTCACTAGAACAGGCACTCCATGAAGACAGGTCTTAGGCGCTGTGTTCACTGCTGCCTCCCAGCGCCTCTGGTATTGTTTCACCTTACTAGCGGTTCCAATTGTTGTGGACTAAATAAACCAACAGAACAGCTTCACATGACAACAAGAACACAAAAGAAAATAAACAGGTATGTGACAGGGATTGCTAGAGCAGCTATAAGCAAGATGTGTTAATTTATCTGAGGAACATCAAGAGGAGGGGCCTCGAGGGGGAGAGAGAGGAAGGAGAAGGGGAAGGGGAGGAAGAGAAGGGGGAGGGGGAGGGGCGGGAGGAAGAGGGGGAGAAGCCTCACGATGGTGGTTACTTTTGAGTGGGATCTAAATGACAAGGGGCCAGGACATGCTGCCTATCCCCCTGCAGAGGGTCTGGGCACAATGCAAAGGCCCCAGGCTGGAGCACAAGCTGAAGGCAGGGTGGACGATTAGCACAGTCAGGGAGGCTCAGGGGACCACAACAAGGAGGGTGGGCCCTGCTGCTCCTGGGCCTGTTTGCTCCCAGATCCAGCCTTCCCTTCGCCTGTTCAGCGCGGGGTTGCAGGAACTGGCCCGATGGGCTGGGCTCAGCACTTCAGGAGGAGACGCTGCCCAGGGTCACAAACTGCCCAAGGTCAAGGCTGTTCCTGAGCCCTCCTCCTCTCCTGCCTTAGAATGCAGCTGCTAACCCTGTGCTCCGCCATCCCTCACACAAAGGCTCCATCCACTGGCAGCGTGGTGGTGGCCTCCTCTGGTCGCTGTCCTCCGGGCTGCCTCGGGTTGCGCCCTCAGCCTCTTCCATCACCTGGGAGGTCACCAACCTGTGTCGCAGCCATTCTGCTTTACTCCGTAGTTTGTCTTTCTAGCAGGTGACTGACCGATTCCAAGTGCTCTGAGTAAGAGTGCGGGATCAAGTGAACACCGGCACCGGCACCCCTCCAGGGCGGGGCCTGGAGAATCGAAGCGCATGGGAACGAGTTCTTCACCTGCAGACTCATCCTCCGCATGAGCAGGGGGAGCTGGAGGTGAGCGGTGGGAACGACAGACAATCTTTTGGTTTAAAGAGGGTCCTGCCAAACAGAACTGCAGAGAGAGAAAGCGCTCAATTAGAAGGGCCGCACGCTAAGCGGCAGGGAACAAGAGGCCTCAGGAAGGCCGCGATATTCTACTCCGGGGTCCAGAAGGGCGCCTTCCAACCCAGAGGTCCCGTGACACAGCCACCTAGAAGAATACTTTCTGAATGAATGAATGAGTTTAGACTTGCAGAAATGTTAGGCATTATTATGTGGGGGCATATTCTTGTGTGTTGCCCTACCCTTTGTTAAACTCCCCTCGGGAATTGGAAATGGGGGAGGCCGAGAGCGAGGAGGGAGGGGGAAAGAGGAGGGGATATCTTAGATTATAAACAAACTTTCCAGCGGCTAAATGCGGTGCGGGCTCATGCACGGACTTCCTGCAGGCACGGACTCCATGCAGCGCGCCCCTGCCCTTGATGTCCCGGGCTGAGCAATGACTTTCACCCCGCAGCCCGGGCCAGGAGGCGGGGTTTCGGGC